GGACGAGATGTACTCTCACAAATTGGGATGGTACTCTCCAACGAGCACCCTTTGGGGTAAATGCCACTGTTTGGGAATTCCCGTTACCCTTACGATGGTATGATGACCAACCTATATGGGTTAAACAGTGGCAGCAGAATAAGAATCAAAAGAAAGACCTTGTACTGCAGATACGGAAGAAGAGTTAAAATTGTAGACATAGCTATGCACAAATGTAAGCAGCTTTAAAAAATTAACCAATCATGAGCTTGGCTTTTGCAATATGTATGAGCTTATTAAATGCCTTATAAAAATGACAGCTTATAGACAATAAATTGAACGCACTTATTGATCACGAGGTCGTTGTGTCGTTCCTTCGTCCCCACAGGGATTCCCCTCGCACTTGCGCTGTTTCACTCAAGGGGTCTGATCTATTTGGGTCTGGGGGCTTTACTTCATCTTCTCCTCACCAGTTTCTCCTTCAAATGTCCTCTACAGACAATGAGTCAATCACAGAACACCAATTAAAACAGTTTATACAAGAAACTGTCTCTCCAAGGACAAAGCTCTCGTTTATCAGTGAACTTGGCAGGCAAAGAACAAAACTTTTGCAGGTGGCTGGGTCAAACGCAGACCAAAACATATCAACAATCCCTGATACACCTGACCTGATTTCTGTGTTGAAGATGCTTCTTCAGCCCTTCTCTGGAGCTGCAGGGGCAGTGCCTGTGTGCAGAGCTGGAGGGAAGAGACTCCCAGCACAGCAGCACAGCCAGGGACAAGGGCACTTGTTCTTTCCACATCTTGGCTTTGGGAAAGGCTGGGGAAGGTTGGGAAAGGTGTTAACAGGGTGGTTTTGCCTGAGGTGTTAAACATGGGAGTGGGTCTATCTTCACAATTCCCAAGAGAAGAGGTGGCAGAAAGCTGCCCTACAGGTTGTATTTGAAGGAAGAGGAAAAGAGACCGAGGGGAAGGGGTTTCTTTCCTGGAGGGCAGGGCTGTCGTTCGCTTGCAGGAGCCCCGCGCTGGAATTGTCAGTCCAACTGCCAAATTTGAATCTGGACAAAGATTCCTGCCAGACAAAAGGTGCCAGGACAGAAAGTTCTTGCTGCCCATGGAGTACCAAGGGTGGTCCACCAACTGCACCTAACACCCAAAGGTTACAGGCTTTCTTTCCTGGGGGAAAGACCGTGACATCACAAAGAGTCCCAAGGCAGATGGGTGGGGCTGCACTGTGGGGGTGTGGGACGTTGGTTCTTTGGTTTCCAGGGGCTATTCCAGAATGGAGAGGATGGGTCGGGACATCCTAAAGGGGCACATGGGTGGGGCTGCATTCTGACCTTGTGGGGGGTTGGTTCTTTGGTTGCCAAGGGCTATTCTGGAACAGAGAGGGTAGGCTGTGACATCACAAAAGGGTCTCAAGCACATGGGTTGGTTTAGTGGGTTGACCCTGGCTGGATTTTAAACCCCCACTAAAAGCTGCTACCTCCCCCTCCTCTGCAACTCCACAGAGGAGAGAAAAAAAACAGCTGAGGATTCCTGAGTAGAGATAAGGGTGGGGAGAAAGTCACTTACTAATGGGCAAAACAGACTCAAAGTAGGGATAGTACTTAAATGTATTACTGACAGGATAAAAGCCAAAGAGTGAGAAATAAAACAGTCTGAAAAACACCTTCCTCCCACCCTCCTTCCTTCTCAGCTCTCCCTCCTCTCCCCAGCGGTGCAGGGGGATGGGAATGGGGGTTACAGTCAGCTGTTGTTTCTGTCACTGCTCAGGGAGATCCTTCCCTGCTCCTGTGGGGTCCCTCCCACGGGAGACAGTCCTGGATGGACCTCTCCAGTGAGTCCATCTCTAGGGCAGCAGCTCTTCCCACCCTGCTGTCCCGTGGGTCCCTCCTCCATGGGGTCAGTCCTTCAGGGATGAGCTGACCCGGCGTGGGTCCCCCACAGGGGCCACGAGTCCTGCTGGGAAAAACCTGCTCCAGCCTGGGCTTCCCTCTGCATGGGCTGCAGGTCCCTGCCAGGACCTGCTCCATCGTGGGCCTGCCCCGGGGTCACAGCCTCCTTCCTGCATCCCCCTGCTCCAGCGTGGGAGCCTCCAGGGGCTGCAGGGGGGTCTCTGCACCTCGATGCTCCCCAAGGGACTGCAGGCCCTGGAACACCTCCTGCCCCTCCTTCTGCACCACCCTTGGGGTCTGCATTGCTGTTCCCACATTCCCACTCTGCTCTTCCCGGGCTGCAATTCCTTCTGTCCCTAAATCTTTTATCCCAGAGCTGTTTTTGTTGCTCCTGATGGGTTGGGCCTTGGCCAGAGGCAGCAAGTCCGTCCTGGAGCAGCTGGCATTGGCTCCACGGGGCAGGGGAAGCTTCTGGCAGCTTCCAACAGAAGCCACCCCTGGAGCCCCCCCGCTACCAAAACCCACCCACAGAAACCCACAACACCCAGTGACTTCCACTTGTCCCAGGATGGTCCCAGTACCCGGCAGTGTGATCCCAGTCACTCCCAGTTCAGGCCAGTTGCCTCCAGCATGCACCCTGTCACTCCCAGTTACTCCCAGTTGCTTCCAGCATGATCCCAGTTGCTCCAAGAATGTTACCAGCTGGCTTCCATCATGGCCCCACTGGCTCCCAATTCCCCCCTGCATAGTTCCAGTCACTCCCAGTTTGATCCTGGTCCCTTTCAGTCACTCCCACTATGATCCCAGTCACTCTCAATTGGATCCCAGTTGCCCCCAAGGTGGTCCCAGTTGCTCCCAGTCCACCCAGGATGGTTCTTTTCCCTCTCAGGGACTCCCAGTCTGAGCCCAGGATGGCCCCAGGCACTTTCAGGCCCTGCCTGGACAATGCCATTTGCCCCCTTCATCGTCCCAGTTGATCCCAGTATGATCCCAGTATGAGTCCAGTCACCACCAGTATGATCCCAGGAACTTGTGGACACTTCCAGTACGAATCCAGTTTGATCCCACTCATCCCCAGCATGGCTGCAGTTCCTCCCACACACTCCCAGTATTATTGCAGTCACTCCCAGTAAGACCCCAGTGGGACACCAGTAGGAGCCCAGCTGCTCCCACTATGATCCTAGTTGCTCCCAGTTGCCCCCAGCATGGTCCCAGTTGCTCCCCTTCACCCCTACTATGGTTCCAGTCACTCCCAGTGTGATCCCAGTCAATTCCAGCCACTCTCACTATATCCCAGTTGCCTCCAGTATGTTCCCTGTCAGTCCCAGCATGATCCCAGTCTCTCTTAGTAGGATCCAAGTTACTCCCTGCATGGTCCCAGTTGCTCCCAGTCACCCCACTGTAGTTCCATTCCTTCCCAGTATGACTCCAGTATGATCCCAGTGACACCCTCTATGGTGGCAGTCACAGTCAGGATGAACCCAAACATTCCCTGTCACTCCCAGTATAAAGCCATTTGCCCCCAGCAGGGTCCCACTTGCTCCCACTCACCCACTACAGTTCCAGTCCCTCCCAGTAGGATCCCTTTTACTCCTGCTCTCTCCTACTATATCCCAGTTGCCCGCACTGTGGTCCCACTCACTCCCAGTTGCTCCCAGTAGCTTCCAGCATGATCCCAGTTGCTCACAGACACTCCCAGTCACCCCCAGTGTGGTCCTAGTCACTCCCAGTATGATCCCAGTCACCTCCAGTGTGATCCCACTTGCTCCCAGTATATCCCAGTTGGGCCAACATGGTCCCAACTGCCCTCAGAATGCTCCCAGTCACTCCCAGTATGAACCCAGCCACCTTCACTGTGGGCCCAGTTGCTTCCAAGATGCTCCCAGTTCCTCCCAGTGGGATCCTACTAGCTCCCAGTTGCCTCTAGCATACAACCAGCCACTCCCACTATGATCCTAGTCTGATCCCAGTAGGATCGCACCCCCAGTATGATCCCAGGAACTTCCAGACACTTCCAGTACAAAGCCAGTATGGCTGCAGTCCCTCTCACACACTCCCAGTATTATTGCAGTCACTCCCAGTATGATCCCAGTATGACCCCAGCACGCTCCCAGGTGCTCCCAGTATGATCCCAGTTGCCCCAGTTCTGGCCCCACTGGATCCAGTCCAGCTCTGGGTGTATCCCAGTTTCCCCCCTGTCCCCTCACCCCGCTGTCACCCCCTTTTCTCTCCCCACAGAGCTCCTGAGACGGCAGCGGTCGCAGCTCCTCCCCGGGGCCTTGGGCACAGCCTGGACCCCCCCCGTGTCCGTGAGGATTTTGGGGGGTCGTGTGCCCCCCCTCCCCTGCTGTCACTCTGCCTCCACCCGGCTGCTCCCAGTGATCCCAGCAAAGCTTCCCAGTTCTCCCCAGTCCTTGTTATTGGGGGGCACTGGGGGGATTTGGAGGATCCCAAAGGGTGGAGCCGAGTTTGGGGGGGCACAACCAGCCCTGGGATGGATCGGGAATGAGGACCCCCCTGTGTTCCCCCCGTGTCACTCTGCTCTGGGGGGGCTTTGGGAGTGCACCTGCCCCTCAATGGGCACCCAGCTCACCCCAAAAGGTGCTGGGACCCCCACAAAACCTCCCCACAGACCCACAAAGATGCCCAAACACACTCAGAGCCCACCCAGGACCCCACCCAACCCCTTTTCTGGGGGGGCTTCTCTGGGCACTGGTGGTGCTGGGAGCCCCCCCGGCTGCGGGCGAGGAGCTCTCGGGTGAGCGGGGGGTGGGAAGGGGGAGGTCGGTGGGAAAAGGGGGGTCAGAGGGGATAAAAGGGGTGGTGGGACCCCAAACTGAGTGGGAGGGCAGTGGGACCCCCAAAAGTTGAGGGGGACTGAGGTTCATGGAAAATGGGTGGGAGAGAAGAGTGGGGAAAGGGCAGGGTGAGACCACCAAACAAAGTATGAGGGGGTTGGAGACTGGGGGGATGATGTGGAAGGGGTGGGAGAGGAGGGAAAAATGTGGGGGTTGGGACCCATAGAATGATCTGGGAGGGGCTGTGGATTGAGAGGACCATGGAAAAGTGGAAGGAACAGGTAGAAGGGTGGAAAGTGGGGGGGGTCTGGCAGATCCAACAGTCCCATGGGGGTCTTTGGGCACAGGGGGGCTGGGAAAGGGGGGGTGGCCCCCTGAGCTCCCAAATTACTGTGAGGTGCTGGGGGCTGCTGGATCCAATCTCAGCCTTGGGTTATGCCAACAGGTTCAGTTCAGAGGAATTACAGAGGTGGGACTAAAACACTTTTGTCCCCCAGGTTTTAAGGATGGCAAACCACATCTACTGATAGAAATGAATTGTTTAGGGTTACAAATGATCAGACAAAACACCTTCATCAGAATTATTTACTGCACAGTAGAAACACTAAAACTACCAGTACTACAGCATAAGATAGGACAGTGCTCTACACTAAAGCAACTGTTGAAGCAATTCTACTCAAGCTCGCACCAAAGCAAGAATTATGAATTAGAGATGGATGGAACTTCCCCAGACCAACGCTCGGGGGGAGATCTCTGCTCTCAACCTCCAGCACTGACCTTGGGGGTCCCCAGCCAAGGCAGGAATCTCCACACGCCCCCCAGGAAGGGCTCTGTTGGCACAACCTGCCCCCGGGAAAGGTGACTGGCCCTTTCTGGTAGAAAGGGATGGACTGACACTCACTGGACTCCAGCGGTTGCCTCACCATCAGGGGGTCATTCAGGATGGGAGCAGTGGCCGAAGCTCTTCCTGCAGTTGGGGCACTCGAGGGGCTTCCCTTACTGGTGGGTCCGTTGGTGTTTGGTCAAGGTAGAGCTGTGGGTGAAGCTCTTCCTACACTCCCCACTCTTGTAGAGCCTCTCCCCGGTGTGGATGCGCCGGTGGGTGATGAGGGTGGAGTTGTGTTTGAAGCCCTTCCCGCAATCGGTGTAGTGGAAGGGCCTCTCCCCTGTGTGTGTCTGTTCATGTGTGAGAAGATGTGAGCTGGTCTGAAACCTCTTCCCACATTCCAAACACTTGTAGGGTCGTTCCCCAGTGTGGATGAGCTGGTGTCGGATCAAGGTGGAGATGTCACTGAAGCTCTTCCCACATTCCCTACACGTGTAGGGCTGTTCCCCAGTGTGGATGTGCTGGTGGCTGAGGAGGTTCCAGCTCTTCCTGAAGCTCTTCCCACATTCCAAGCACCTGAAGGGCTTCTCCCTGCTGGGAGGCTGCTCAGGGACAACCAGCTCGGAGCTCCGGCTCAAGCTCTGGCCGCCTTCCCGGCACAGGACGGGTCTTTCCTCCTCAGAGCTCCCTGGGTTGGCTTTGCAGCCCCTCCTCCGGGGGCATCTCCGGGCCTTTTCCTCCCCGCTGCCTTCCTGCGCCGGGGAGCCCTTCAAAACGGCCTCTCCCACCAGGCTCTGCCGGGGGGATTTGTCCTCCGTGCTCTCCGTCCTCAGCTCGGGGCCTGAGGCAGGAAGGAAGAAGGACAGGCAGGGGATTTGCCTCCGGCCCAGAGGGAAGGCCAAGGACATCCCCCAAATGTGGCCCTCACAGGCACCACAAGACAGGGTCAAAAGGGCACTGACTTCCTCCTCACCTGCCTGGGGGGTCCGTGGCCTCTTCCTCTTCCTCGCAGCCTCCTCCTCCATCCGACCAAGCTTTGGGAAGGACAAATCCTGCTGGGGGGGAAAAAGGGCTGAGCGCATTGGCTTGGGGGTTCCTCCTGCCCAAGTGATCTGTGGAACTCACCGGGCATCCTGGGACGATAAAAACCTCCAAAACACCAAGATTCAGCCCAAAATAAACCCAGCCAAGAGCTTCTCCTCTCTGTTCTCTCCACTTTGGGATTCTGGAGGTCCCCCCTGTTCGGGCTGCTGGGAGTCCCGTGTGTATTTGGGGTCTCCCCTCTACAGGGTCCCTGCCCTCCCTCTCCAGGCTGCTGGAGCTCCCAGCAATCCAAGGTTCCCCCATCTCCCAACTTCAGGGTTCTGGAGCACCTCCAAAACATCAAGATTCCACCCAGAAAAACCCAAACCACCAAGATTCAGGTAAAAACCCCTCAGAAATAGCAAGAAGACCCCTGCCCCCAAAATTGCAAAAAGCTGAGATTCAGATAAAATATAATCTAAATTATGAGGATGAGCCCAAAAAAATCTCCGCCAGGAGTTCCCCCTCTCTGGTCTCTCCCCTCTGGGGTTCAGAGGGTCTCTCCTGTCTGGGATGTTGGGGTCACTCTTAGGGATGCTGGGAGTGTTGAGGGTCCCAAGGGTCCCTTCTCCTCTGACTCTCACCTTCGGGGTGCCACCTTCCCAGACATTCCCCCTCTCCAGGTTCTCCACCTTGTTGTCCCAGGGATCCCAGGGGTCCCCACTCTCCAGGCTTCCCCTTCTCCGCTCCCCCCGTTTCAGGCTCCCGGGGGTCCTGGGGCTCCTCCCTCTCCGTGCTCCCCCCTCCAGCCTGCCGGGGGTCCCCCAGCTCCAGCATCGCCCGCTCCGCCCTCCACCCTCGGCAGCTCCCAGGGGGACCCCAAAACTGCTGTGTCTGCCCAGCCAGCCCCGGGCTGACAGTGGCCCTGACCCTGTCCCTGCTCCTCCCTGCAGGCTCCGTGGCCGGGCACACTTTGTGTTCCTGGGTGCCACCAGCTCAGAAGCTGCAGCCGCTCCAATCAGCGCCCGCAGCTCTGCAGCAAAGCCCCAGCTCACCTGGCACACAGGGCATGGACACAGCACCTTCTCGCTGCTGGGCACTCCCAGATCAGCCTCTTCCCCAGCACGGGGCTCTCCTGCCTCAGCACCACCTCTGCCTTCCACTTCTCAGGGCCACCTCAGGGACAGCTCTGGGCTCACCTCCGGGCCATTGCTCAGGGCCACCTCAGGGCCTGCTCTCCAGCACAGGAACCTGCAGGGAGGGCAGATGATGTGCAAGCCCAGGGGGGTCTGCTTGCACTGGCCTGGGGGCTTCTTTCTCCTGCCCCACAACTTCTTCTCACCCCACAACTTCTCCTGCTTTTCTAACCCCACATCTTTGCAGACTGACCTTGTCTCTCTGTCTGCACAGACACATCTATCCCCTGTGGACAGAGCCTCCAGCATGTGCTGCCCTGGCAATGGCACCCAGAGAATCCCAGAATCAGCCGGCTTGGAAAAGACCTCCCAGATCATCAAGTGCAACCCTTGATCCAACCCTGCCGTGGTTCCCACACCATGGCACGGATGCCCAGAGAAGGGGCTCTGGGGATGAGGGCTCTCCCAGTACAGCCCAGTGCCCCCTCAGTGCCCTCCCAGTACAGCCCAGTGCCCCCAGTACAGCCCACTGTGTTCCTGTCCCAGGGTGCCGGGTGATCCCTCTTTGCTGGGGGTTTGTTTGGGATTTGGGGCGTTTTGGGGGCCTCTGGGTGCATTTGGGGGAGTTAAAAAAGGTCTCAGGAGCATTGTGGGGTAAAAGGGATCTGAGGGGGGAGGTGATTAAATGAAAAAGGGGGGTTAGGGGACATTTGGGGGGTCTTATTGGGGCCTGGTGGGAACAGGAGGGGCAGCACCACGAGCAGGTGAGTCCTGAGACCCCCCTGGTATCCCCTAGACCCTCCTGCTGTCCTCAATTTCCCATTTGACACCCTGAGACCCTCCTGGTGTCTCCAATGTCCCCAGGGCCTCCCCATGGCCCCAGTTTCCCCCTTGACACCCTGCATTCCACTGTCCCAAAACCCCATCTCTGATGTCCCCAATCCTCCATCTCCCCCAAGAAGACCCCCCTGGACCCTCTGACCCCAAAAATGGCTCCATCCCCCCCCGCTCACAGAAAGGTCAAGGGCATCTGGGGACACGTTGGAGACACTTGGGTGGCTTTGGGGGACACTGAGTGATTACTGGGGTATACTGGGACACACTGGGGGGAACCAGGGGGCACTGGGAGGGACTGGGGGGTTATTGAGGGATGCTGGGAGGGCGCTGGGAGGGCACTGGGAGGGACAGGGTGATTACTGGGGGATTACCAGGACACACGGGGGGACAATTGGAGGTTACTGGGCCATACTGGGGGTTACTGGGTGCCCACTGCAGGATCATTGGGCCATACTGAGGAGTAGAGGGAGGTCACTGGGAAACATTGGGTGGTCACTAGGGGGTGTTACTGGGCCATACTGAGAGCCACTGGGAGGTCACTGGGCTATACTGGGGGCACTGGGATCCCTTTACCCTATATGTGGTTCATCTCCCCATCAAGACTTTGGGTGGTAGCACCAGGACCCCTTCCCTGAGGGCTGGGAGACCCCTTGAGCCCCATTGATAGGCTTTAGGAGACCACCGGGATCCCATCCCTGTGGGGTCTCTGTGTGCTGAGTTTTGGGGGTCTCTGGTATTCGGGGGGGCTTCGGGACCCGCTTTCCCTGCGGTCGGTCCGCCCAGCCGAACGGCGGCGCTGTGGCACGACGGCAATAGCGGCGCCGCGCAGGGCGCCATGGGAGTTCCTTTAATGAAAACTCCGCGGGCGCCTGCGCAGTGCTGCCATGGCGTTAAAACCGCCCCTCCCCCCCCCGAGGGTTCCGAGGCCCCAGCCCTTTCAGGGACCCCCTAAACCCCTTCAGGCACCTTCACCCTCCCCTCTGAGCGCCCTCAGGACACCAAATCCCCTCCGAGAGCCCCTCACGGACCTCAAAACCTCCTCGGGAACCCCCGAGCCCCTCCTCTCCACTCTGCCGAGCCCTCCAGCCTTCCCGCCCACAGCCGCGCTCCCCGCAGCCCCCGAGCGCATCCCCAGCCCCGCCGCAGCCTCCGCCAGGGCTCACAGGGCTGAGCAGATCCCGCTGCCGCCGCCATCGTTTTCCCGGCAGACACCGCGGGGCTGTGCGCGCGCACCGTCGGTAGAAGCCCCGCACCCTTTTTCGCGCGGGGCACGCCGGGAGTTGTAGTTGCAGCGGCTCAAAGCTCCAAACTCCCCCAGACTCAATTCCCCACGGGCGTTCCTGGGGCAGAGCGGGGCAGAACCGGGGCGGGGACGGGACGGGCATTGGGTGGAAATCGTTATAAAAACTGTAACCCCTGCGTTGGAAGGGACGGGTGTGGGTTTGTATTCCTGGAGCCTGGAGGCTCATGGAAACCTCTGCTGCTTTTCTGACTTCCTGCCCAGTTGGGCCTGGAGTCTTTTTTCCTCTGCAGCCTTTTAGGCAACAACGTTTATGGGGTTTATGAGGACATGGCCTTTATGAGGAGAGCCTCTTAGGAGGTTTATGGATTCTCTGGATGCAGCCTGGCAAAAAGAGAGTGGCTGAAAAAAGGTGTAAAACAGTGGGGAGAGCCCTGAGGCTCAGATCCAGTGCTGGTGGGGGGCTGTAGGGACAAGGCAGTTGTACAGAACAAGGCAGAGCCGTGGGGGCACTGTGGGGCTGTGGCTCTGACTGCAGCCAAACCCCCCCATCCCAGAGGAAGGCAAAGGGCACACAGAGATCCGCAGCCCGTGCGAGTGCAGGCGCTGGGGCAGTTCCAGACGAACACTGTGGCCATCCTGCAGAGCCTGACTGAGAAAAAGATCCTTTCTAGGGAGCCTGGGCTGGCTTGGGTGCAGGGCACTGGGGACAGAGCCCACCCGGGGAAGGAGGGACAGTTAACAGGGCTGGGCAGAATTTTAGGCTTCTTCAAGGGTCAAAAGCTCTTTGCCCCCCACCCCGTCCGGCTCACGCTGTTTCCTCAGCACCTTCACTTGCTCAGATGAGGCCACACTTGAAGACTTGGAAAAGCAGATTGGCCACAAGAAGGGATCCTGGCAGAGGGCTGCAGCCAAAAGGGACCTTGATCAAAACCTCTGCTGTGAAGCCAAGGGCTTTCACTCATGGCTCTTGCCTCGTTCCTCCCAGCTGGAAGGTCTGGGATGAGGGGAGATGACTGTGTGGCCAGACAGGTCTTTGGGCAGATGTAACACCCGGCCTTTTATAACATTTCCACAGAACAACCAGGATGGTCTAGCCCTGCACAGCCCCCCCAGAGCCTGGCAAGCTGCTCTGCAAGAGGAAAAACCTACAGTGGTGCCACCCTGAGAGTTCCTCTTGTCTCAGCATCTACTGCCAAGTGGTGGGGCATGAAGAGACTTGTGGCACAGGCAGAGCCAGCAGTGCCTGTCCCGCTCCTGCCATGGTGTCCAGGTGGGCTCCCATGGGACAGCAGGTGGCAGGAATTGTCAGATCCCCTTGCCCTGGTTGGGCAGAATTGTTTGGGAATCGGTATTATCTTGTTTGGGTTTATAATCACACAGCAAAATGGTCATTATTCTATCAATATGTATGTGTGTGTATATCTATGTACATTTAATTTTGAGAGCAGAGCAGTGCAGTTTTGAAACCCATCTTTCCTATAAAGAAGTTCCTCTCCTGACAATAAAACCCCTGAAGATTTGTATGCCCCGTGCCTCTCCTTTCAGCAGGGCTTCAGAGTCCCAGAGGCATCAGGATGGGCCCTCTGGCTTTTGCAAGGTCTGCTGTGCTCAGGCTCCACCAATCCTTTGGGGAAATCTTTGCTGGGTGAGCAAGCCAGGCTGCTGCAGGCCCAGGCTCAGCTGGAGGGAGCCAGCATGGCATGGACGCCGTGTCCCCATGGGCAGGGTTTGCTTTGGAGCCTGTGCTTGTTGGAACACAGGGATCTGTGAGCTGAGCTGGGGATGGACCCGCAGCCCGGCCCAGGCGCCCCATGGAGCTGCTCTGGGCTGTGTGCTGGGACAGGGACACACAGGACCTGCTCCTGACACGTCCCTGCACACTCCACCAAGAACCAGCAGCATCTTCCTGCCTTTCTCTAAGCACAAAAGTGTGTTTGCTTCCTCTGCAGGGGTAACCCCCCATTCCCCACTGTTCCCCAGGAAGCTGCAGCCCCTGCAGGGCTCATCGCGGCCTCCAGCACTGAGTGCTCAGCACAGGCAGGACATGGAGCTGCTGAGAGAGTGCAGAGGAGGCCTGCGAGGTGCTGCGAGGGCGGGAGCCCCTGTGCCCTGAGGAAAGGCTGCCAGAGTTGGGGTTGCTGAGGCGGGAGAAGAGAAGGCCCCGGGGAGGAGCTGAAGGGGCCCAGAGGAAAGCTGGGACAGAGTGTTCAGCAGGGCCTGTGGGGAGAGGACAAGGGGGATGGCTTGAACTGAAGGAGGGTGATTTAGGGTCGATCTGAGGGAGATGTTTTCTTCCAGGCAGGCTGGAGGGGACTGGCACAGGCAGGGCCTGAGAGGCTCCGTCCCTGGGAACGTTGAAGGGCCGGTTGGACGGAGCCCTCAGCAACCTGGGGTGGTGGGAGGTTGCTCAGGTTGGAATGAGATGATTTTTAGGGTCCCTTCCAAGACAACCCATTTGAGGATTCCATCATTCTCTGGTCCCCATGCCCACAACTCCTGTGACATCCCAGCTGCCAGAGCTGTGCCCGTGTTCCATGTGGAATGGCCAGCACCCAGCACCGAGCACAGCACAGCCATTCCCCTGCTGCCATCACACCTTTGTGCAGCTCCCAGTGCAGCCTCTGCGCTGACCAACCCTGCTGTGCTCTGAGACAGCCCTTCCCCCTGCTCAGAGACCACCCTTCCTCCTGCTCCCAGCACACTGTCCTGCCCTGCTCCCTTCAATCCCCAGCAGTCCTGAACAGAAGCTGCTGTGTGGATCTTGCCCCCCATCCCAGCAGGATGCTCCCTCTTGTCCTGAGGAAGGTACGGGGCCGTTCCATGCAGGTGGGCACTCCTCGACCGCCCAGGGGGCTGGAGCTCTGTGGGGATGGTGTGGGACAGGGACCCCATTCTGAGATTGTGCCCCTGATGCAGCTGAGAGAGACACAGGAGAGGAGATGGAAATCGATATGGGATTGGATAGTGAGGAAAGGATGGAGATAGGTCTGGAAGAGGATGTGCAGGAAGAGATGGAGACAGATCTGAAGGAGGACACAGAGGAGGAGATGGATCTTGAGCAGGAAGATGAGGAGGAGGACATGGTGTTGGGATGAAGACCCCCAGCAGCAGGACAGGCCCGTCCTGGCCATGCCCTGCCCCAGGGACAGGGGGTCACTGCCACCAGGCTGGGGCTGGGCTGGGTGGCCCCGCTCAAGGACACGGTGCCCCGTGCCCGGGATTCTGGCGGCACAACCCCCACCCCCGGCCTGCCCTGCGCCTGCTTTGGGCCACACAAGCCACGTGCCAGCGCCTGGGGCTCGGCTCCCATCCCCAGCCGGGCTCAGACCTGGCGCCAGAGTCCCGCTGTGCCCAGCGTGTGCCAGGCTGGGGGCACAGGGAACACCCAGCAGGGCCCGACTGCACTGACTGTGCCCTTGCTTTGCTTCCAGCACTGACGGACACTCCGGCCACAGATTTGGTAACCTTGAACATATGTTTTTCATGTATTTTTCTTTTTCTTACATACATTTTATATTTTTGATAGTTTAAGAAAACAGTTGTTTTATAAAGAAGGTAAGTTTTTTCTAGGCAAGATAGTTGTTTTATTAAGAAATAAGGTTTTTTATAAGAAAATAGTTCCTCAATTGAGAAGATAGAATTTTAGAAGAAGAATCTTTTTGTTTGTTTGTTTAGAAGATAGTA